TATTGTTGTTGTTGGTGGTGGTGTTCCGCCGCCAGCCGGGTCCTCAGGGTCCGGGAGTTGGCGCAGCGGAGGAGGGCCAGCAGCGTCAGCGGGTTGACCGGGTTGGGGCTGGACAGCAGAGGAACCAGATTGAGCAGCTGGGGGCGGGGGGGGGGGGGTAGGTGAGAGGGGCGGGGGGGGAGTAGGTGGGAGGGGAGGGGGGGTTATAGGTCGGAGGGAAGGAAAGAGGGCCACGGCGAGACGAGGGCGACGGGATTCACTGATTGGCAATCTTGACCAGGCTTGACGTGGCTTTGACGGATATGTGAATTGCGGCGTGTGGGGCGTGTGGCCGGGTGATGTGTGTGTATGTGTGTGTGTGTGGAGGGGGGGAGGGGGATACGACGAAGCCCAGACGATTGACGAGAAGAGATAAACACCCTAAGCGGGTTGGACTCCCCGGTAGCGTACGACCAATACTGTAGGACAACAAGAAAGATACTGACCTGTAGTAACTTCGTATATACAAACATATACATATATATAGTGTGTGTATGTGTGTACGGGGGGAGACGAACCCTCCCCCTCCCCCTCCCCTCTCCCCCCCGCCTCCCCCCCCAGGTACCTCGGATGGCCTCATTTGCGACAGCCAGGGCAGATGCGGCCACAGCACGGGCTGGGTAGCTGTACGGAGGGGGCTGCGAACCAGCTGTACGAACCGATGATGTATGTCACTCAGTCGTACGACAGTATCGAGGTCTGTGGAAGGGCTGTCGGAGTCCGGAGCACCTGGGGGTGGCTCGGAGCGGCACATGGCGGGTAGGTGTGTATTGGTTGTGTGTGTATGTGTATGTGTGTGTATGTGCGTGTGTGTGTATGTGTGTGCGTGTGTGTATAAGGTGGAGGGATCACCCACTGCAAACCCCTTTACACACACATGCACACCGGATCGATATGCAACAGATATACACTCTGGCAGGCGGCTGGCAGAGGTTAAGGCCTGGCTTCTGTTCCCGGGTTCAAATCCGCCTGCCGACTTCTCGGGTGTTTGAGAGGTGTTGAAATGGGAGGTGGCCCCCCATCATATGGACGATGTAGGACCTGATAATATCAACTTGCGAGCTGACCAGGAACGAAGAGCAGGGAACAGCCTCCAAGGGAAAAGGGGCCGCTGGTGAAGCTATACCACCCTGTAACAACATACATACAGATACACAACATTACACATAGGGCCCACCCTCATTCCCCACATCCCTGCCGTACGCTCGTACCTGCCCTCTTCAGTAGCTGATAGGCGTCCCCGTTCCCCGACATGAGGGCTAGTGTGAGGGGCCTTATGCAGCCCAACACCGGAGCGCGGGGGTCAGCCTTGTATTGAAGAAACAGCTCCAACACTGCAGTAAAACACAGCCGTACACATACACACATACATACACACGTACACGTACATGAAACTCTTCTGTCGCCGGGATATTCCCGTCTTATAGACGTACATACATACAGACAGACATACATACAGGCAGCACCCAGATGTAACGCCTCCCGCCCCCACGCTGCAAACGCAGGGTTGTCAGCGACGGGAGGAGATGTACGACAGAAGGACATACACGCTGTGGCGGTATTGGCCCGCTAATGAAATAGAATTATGTCACATTACAATATACTATATTATATCAAAATTGTATAATATAGTACATATATAGCATATTATACAATATTATAGTATTAGTATAATATAGTATAGTATAACAAGGCCCCACATAACCCAACCCACGTACCCGCACACACAAGCCAATACATACATACACACATACACGCACACAGTCCGGCTCAGATTATCAAAGCACACAGGCGGGACGCGGCGCGCTTTTCTCCACCCAACCCTCTCCCCCTCTTAAATCCCCAGCCACAACCCCTCTTTAATCCCCCCCACAGCCCCTACACACGTACATACATACATACATACATACGTACAAGTGTGTACTGTGAAAAAGACACACAAAAACATACGCACACACAGACACACACACTTACTCTTCGGCGGATGCGCCTCCGCCACCATCTCCGCCACTGCCGTACGCCAGGGAGGGGAACTCATAGGACCGCCGGTGTACGACGGCACATACCCCGTAGGTGTGCCCGCCTCCAGCGCCGCCACCAGCAGCTCCGGATCCAACATCAAAACAGGATCCAGGAAGTTGAGGAACCTCAAATCTGAAGGACAGTTCGGCACGTACGACAATTGATGTATTGTACGACGACAACCACGAAAAGCAAATTCTTCCTGCTTTAGTGGCATGCAGGGTTTTCAAGGATTTAGATTTCGGGGCTCAAATCTGTCAGCGGGGGGTGGTAGGAGGGCCAGAGGGGGGGAGGGGTAAAGACGAACCACAGATACGAGTGGTGCTGATACCATAGATAGAAAGATATTCCAGGAATAGACAAATACTGCATCCGGAAATGTTGTAAGGAAAATTTACCAACTAGTAATGGCTGGGGAAGTAGTCAGGCGAAGGAGAAGACGCGGGGGAAAGACACTCACTGACAATTTGAAAACCCAACATCAAGCTGCCATTGTCAAGGCATCCAAACATCAAAACGCTACAGCAATCGGGCCCGAATTGAGGGGGATGGGGGGGTTGGGGAAAAAGAGCGGGGAAAGCGGATTTGGAGGGTTTGCCACCCTGTCATGTTTCACAAAGAAGCATGTCGTACCTGCCTTACCCCTGTCGTACTGGCCTAGAGATCGATGAACACACATCATCCTTGCCATTTTCCTAAACAACATTTCCAGATACGCACATACATACATTCAGACGCACATACCCCCGCACACCTGTCACGAAGGGTTCTTCCAGCCGCACTCCAGATGCCAGCAGTCGCTTCATCAGTACGGCAATGCTCATGGTGTTCATCGGCCCGCAAGAGTCCTCCACTTTCAAACGATTGAAGGAGCACATCTGGGGGGCCGGGGCCGGGCGGGGGGGAGATAGAAGGCGGGGAGGGCGGTGGGGGAGATAGAAGGTGGGTATGGCGGGGGGGGGGGAGATAGAAGGCGGGGAGGGGGGGGGGAGATAGAAGGTGGGTATGGCGGGGGGGGGAGAAAGAGGGAAAAGAGGGGGAATTCATTCATTCACATGTAAAAGCCGAACCGCCGTATCCAAAGCACCTGGAAAGCCAACGTCAAAAGCGGGAAGGGGGGAAACGGGGGGGGGGGGAAACGGGGGGAAAAACAAAAACCCCCCCCCCTCCAGAACCTGGGACGATTTTGCGCGCCTTCCCGGGCGGGCAAGCAATGCTAAACATTGCAAAACCCAAAGGCCCCAGGTTTTCCCCCCACCGGCACCACCACCGGCACCACCACCAAAAACAACAACAATTACAACCCCCCAACCCACCCCGGCCAGCCAAAAACACACTTCTCAGACCTGCCGCACAAGAACATGCAAGGACATTGTACAGCGGCCCAGTCCCGTACTTCCGCCGTACGTCCCGGTTAGCAGCTCCAAAACCCGACTGGCTGTAGCATCCAAGAGCCGCAGGGCGAACGCCAGCTGACTCATCAGGCCGGCGGAGATGTACGGCGGACTGCCGCGGGCCGGAGCCCAACAGCGGCGACTACAGGGAGCGCGCACACGTGTGTGTGTGTGTTTTGGAGGGGGGGGAAAGAAAGCCCGGGGGGGGTAAAGGGGGGCCGAGGGGTAAAACCGGGTTTTGAGTTGGCGACGATGACTGCTCTTATCCAACCGCATGGGACGGGATGTTACTAGGGAGGAAGGTACGAAACAGGTAATTAGACATGCCCATTGTAAGGCCCACGTAGGTGGTGCCGTACAATCCCAAGCGTAAATCTCAGAAAACAGCTAAAGACTATGTTGTGATGTTGTGAAAAGCAGCTGCAGGGGTGGGGGTGAGGGTGGGGGTGGGGGATGGGGGGTGGGGGTTGTGGTCTGATGGCACCGAGGGCGCTTATGGACGCGAAGGGGCTCTCGTGCACGATCATGATAATAAAAATATGGGGAAAGCAGTTGTCCAAAACAACAACAATAATAATAATAAATTTAATTAAACATAATTATTTAATTATTGTTTTGGGCGAGGCCCCGGGCGCGAAGCGCCATTCGGGGGGCCGAGCCCCCCGGGTTCACTGCTGTCAGTCAGTCAGTCAGTGGCTTACATATCTCGCCCCGCAAAAAATAGCGTTTGAATGCTATATCCATTCTATATCGAAATGCCAAAGGAGTCATTCCAGATAAATCGGAGCGCGACAAAGATAGCTTTCCATGGCTCCGAGTTTGACATAAAGTTACATATCTCGCTCCGCAAAAGATTGAATGTAGAAGCTATATCTACATATGCTACATCCACCTGCCAAAGGTGGTTTGCCGTACGGACTGTCCTGCGAGTCAAACAGGGAGCAAGTGGCTGCACCGGGGCCGAGCCCCTTTTCGGTTTTGAAAAGCCGGCCCCCTAGTTCTTATTATTATTTCTTATTAATTACTGTTAATTACTTTTTTAATGACCAAATTGGTGACCTTCCGAACCCTCATTACGTAATCGTGCTTGACAGGAAGTACCTACCGCAGCTACAAGGCTAAGAAATAAAGTGTGTGTCATAATGACGATACGTGCCGTACAGGTTTTATAGCATGCCGTACATGCGCCGTACGAATGCCGTACCGTAGCAGCTCTTCTAGAAGCTCAAAGCCCTCTTGGACCTTTTTTTGGCACTTGTCGAGGACAGCCGCCGCCGCCGCCGGGCTATTGGAAAGGCCGCCGCCGCCGCCACCACCGCCTGTCGTACTGGCGGCGGCGCCGTTGCTGACCTGGCTAAAGCGGTTGCCGCCGCCGGCTTTCAATCCCGCGGCCGCCGCCACCGCTGTTGCCAAGGACGGCGATGCTGAAGGCGGTTGGCGGCGGTGGTTGGCCATGGCGCGACGCGCCACCTGCTGCTCGGTAACAATGTTCAGGAGCGCCATAATTACGGCATCCACGCAAGCATCTCGCCGTACGGCACCCCAGCGCTTGAAGCCGTACTTGGCCAGCAACTGCGCAATACCGTGCGATCCGGCAATGGGAAGGGGCATACATACATACATGAGCGGGAACACGCAGCCATCAAACCCAGGTGCCCCGTGTGGAGGAGTCTCTTCCCATATCAACCAATACAACAAAAACAACGACAAAAACGACAAAAACGACGACGACGCCGTGTTGTCTCCCAGCCAGGGGCTGGGAGAGGGTCCCGGATGGCATGAGTGAGTGAGTGAGTGAGGCGCGTGCGGAGAGGAACAGACGGACGTAGAGCCACGCGCGGCCCCCCCCCTTCCTGCGCTGTGTTTCGGCCCCATATCAGGGGGCTCCCCGACGGCGCTCTCGGTCCTTTCTCGGGACGAGAGCCGCCCACACCGTGTAACACACCATCAACAACAAACAACAACGACAACAACGACAATGACAACATCCAAAAGGTGCGCACAACGGAGCTTCTTGCCCCCCCCCTTCCCGCCCCCCAGCCGCTCAGCCGCTCAGCAAGTAGGTAAGGGCGCCCTAGGTTTCCTGCAGGCCCCCCCCTTCCCGGTCAGGTCAGGTCAGGTCGCGCGATGTGATGCATGCGCGGGTCGCTAGCTCCCTGCGCTCCTCTCCTTGTTCCCCTTGGCGCCCCCCTGCTCCCCTCCCCCTAACCTGAATTGCCTCTTTCTTGGCCGCTGGCCCCAGCTGCTCATTCTGCACCAGGCACATAAGGGCCGTGGTTCCGGAGCGCCTGTGAACCCTGTTGGGGTCTTTATATGTGTGTGTTTCGTGTGTGTTCGTGTGTTTTAAGGGGGGGAAAAGGGAGGGGGGCAGGGGAAAGGGGGGAGGAGAAGGGTTGTAAGTGGGGGAACGGCGAAATAAAGGCTGAAAGACAGACAGACAGAACACCAGATAGGCCGGGGATATAGTTCGGGGATAGAGCCACATCGGCACACTACTTTCAAGCGGAGGAGCCTGAAACTCAAAACCCAACTTGTTGGCTCGTCCATTCCGGAGAGGGGGGAAGGGGGGAAATCACGTGCAAAATCACTCACATGGGCGGCGGGAAGGCATGGTGCATAACGCACGCCACCCACTGCACTGCGCTGCACAGCTAAGAGTGCCATGTGGCAAGTAAAAGGCCCCTTCTGTCCCGAATGCCCCCGGACAGACAGACAGACAGACGGCTGCTCGAGTGAGCTGCGCCTGAAGCTACTTTACATCTTTTTATCACAGATGAAGGTACGCCACCACGCCGACCCTAGGGGCGCCAATGCGCCACCCAGCCCCATGGCCCCATGGCTGTCCACTTCGCTGACCCACATGGGTCACATGAGTCATGTGGCGTCATATGATGATCAATGGGTCACACGATCACATGGTTCACATGGGCCATATGGGTCACATGAGTCACAGGTACTGACCAGCTCCCGCCTTCAGCAACCGCTCCAGCTGCAAGGGGCTATGGCACAGGAGACATGCCAAAAGCAGCAGGGGCCACCGGGCATCAGCCAGCGCCGCTGACGCTGCCACACCGCTGCCGCCACCGCTGCCGCCACCGCTGCCGGCGGCGGCGGTCTCAGGCTCCGGCAAAACGTCGTCCCAGCTCTCGTCCCAGCCCCAATTCGCTTCTAATGCCGCGGCGCAAGCTGCGTGGTTGGCGGTCCTCGGCGCCGGCAGGAGCTCCTGGTGCAGTCTTCGGAACGCTGCTCGCTCCTCCTCCGGCACCCCGCGCCATTCGATGCGTAGCGCGGCGCGGGGCTGGTTAAGGGCCTCAAGCGTTGGGATTTCGAGCGCCTGGAGGGAGAGAGGGAGGAAGGGATGGAAGGACGGGGAGCGAATAAAGGTAAAGGGAGGAAGGGTGGGGGGAAGGGCACGTGGTGTGTGGGGATAGGGAGGCGTGTGGGGCAGGAGCGTGGTGTGATGATCAACAAGACAGTTGCCAGATGCCAAAGCGACGGTTCAACCCAAACGTCTTACTCAGGGAGTCCTACAAGTTGAGGCCATGGGTTGCAGACACTTTGTCTCTGGGTGTCACGGTGTTTGTTGCGATGATGGTCCAGTCACATGGTTGCCACAGTGAACGTTTGAAGAGCAGCGCAGACTCACGTACTTTTTCACCAGGTACCAGCTGTGGCTGTGAGATATAGGCGAGACATTCCGCACCTGATTGGGGTCAACTCCGCGGGCGAGCTCCTGTCCAAGTTTAGATGGAAGGCCCGTGCTCAGAAGCGCGACTGCGTTCTCGGAAGTCAGCCAGGCAGATCTGAAGCATTCAAAGTGGTCCACGTTGTATGGTACATTCATCCATATTAGTTATGATTGAACATTTACGCACCCTGCTTGCGGAGTTGCCGCTCGCCGCATCGTCGAGGCGGCTAAACCTCAAGATCCCTGCTGGTCTTAGTTTTTTCTAATAAAATAAATTGGTAAGAGCATAAAAGTTCTGATGAACATTAAATGTTTCGTGGTATCAATTCGCTCAGGTGGTTGACGACTAACGACTAGCGACTGCTTTCAAGCAGAAACTTTGTTGTGCCTGAAACAGCATCCGTTCACGTATCCATGCAGACGATTTACAAAAAAAGTACCTAATGTGGATCGTATCCAAACAGAATGTCTTAGGCATTCGTACGGCTCGTCCAGGAACAAGGCAGCAACTTAAAAATAGGGGGGTCCTTGTGAAGCAGCTGCCCGCGATTCCAAAGCACGTATGGTGTTGGATTGTAAGGTGCCCAAGTACGTTTGCGAGGAAGAGAATGTGGCCAGGCTGGAGAGGAAAGTGCAGTGGCATATTGGAATGTGAGATTAGCGTACGCGAGTTACAGGGCGTTTGGCGCACGGGCGAATTTACGTGCAAATCTTTCACCGTAGCATCAGTCCTCAGTTCACTTCTTGGAACGAACATCAGCATAGGTGCAAGCCCTCTCGCTTGGAGGGATATGCAAACAACCATCCTGATAGGGGTAAACTCGCACGCTACCGAGCATTCAACCGAGCACATGCATGCTTAGTTGAATGGTGAGATGCGACCCCCCCTTCATTTCGTGCTCGGCAAGCCTGCCACCGCGTACCGGATATGTTGGCGATGTTACAGAACGCTGCACCTTGGTTTCTGTGCGCATTGCGTACGTTGCTCGACCCCGCCGACCAAAACTACACGTGCCCAACTGAAGACATTCCCGGTGGTTGTGCAGCAGCTCTTGAGGCTGTTGCTGGCTGAAATCCATCCTGAGCTGTTGCAACACGGCTAACGCGGGCACGTCCCTATGCACAGCAAATAGCTGTTCCAAGCCAACGGCGGCGTCCATGTCACCGACAAGGCTCTAAACGTCTTATCTGTTCTTATGTTTAATTAAGTTTATGTATGTTATACTTTGCGCAACTTTGTAAGTTGACTTTACTCTGAACAAGGTGCTGCATACAACTGCCTCTTCGCCAGCGCTTCATCTTCCGCGGCAGTTTCACGAGCCCAGAGTTGCAAGCTAGGACGTTGGCATTCGGTGCTTTCATTTCAGTTACTGCAAAGCATCCAGGCAATAGTCCAGCATGCATGCCGCGTGCGGCTATGGCCAACATGCCCACTTGCGCAACGCGCTGCCGCACGTGGTCCTCATCCGCCAAGAAAATTTATATACACTTGTACAGGCGCATTTTGTGAATCGCACGCGCGCATCTGCGCGGCAAAATTCGCTCCTGGCTTTTTTGGGACGATGTACGAACACTTTATTCGCGAAGTACGACCAGACACATTTGTGCGAGGGGCTGCTTAAATAGGCTTTTCTGTTGATGATGACATATCTTGCCAGAAAGCTAAAAGCATTCGTGGCTCAAATTACATGCCTTCGTTAAGCACCAAGCCGCCTATGGAAAAGGCCCGTCAGTGGGTGGGTTCATCAAACGGAACGCTATGCTAAAACACCTGCCAACAGGTTTGTCCCTGTGTTCAAGTACCGCTTTCTCTCCTCTCCTCTCCTCAGGTTTTCCTGCAAGTTCCTTGCAACATACGACACCCGCGGCTTTCAGGCTCCAACAACCCCAAAGCATTTCTTTTAGCCCTTCACAGCTTCCTCCTCCTCCGCATCCTCCTCTCCCCACAGAAAGAAAAAAAGGGGTTCCCGTCTTTTCCCTTCCTCCCCTACCTCCAGGTATCGCCCATGCCATGTCCCACCCACCCAACCCCCGGGGGCTGCTCATCCTACCAAACCAAACCACCACCAAACGTCAATGACACAACGCGCAACACAACCTCTTGAACAAATGCAGGTACGGCAGCAGTGCCGTACCGTGCAGTACCATTGGCAATCACTGGCCTCCCAGCTTTAATGCAAACCTAAGTCAAAATACATCATGTATATATTATTGCATTTCCTCTTTCCCTACCCCCACCCCCCGGCCCGCCTACTTCCCATCCCTGCAGCACCGCCCCGTCCTCAGCGCACTCCTCACACTCCCGCCACCCCGGGTCCCGCCGGGACGGACTTGAGCTCCAAAAAGGCCTGGAGGGAATCCGCCAGGCGAGGTGGCCAGCGACGGTTTCGACGAAGCCAGGAAAAGTCCCGATAACGAGGATCGTCCATACGGGCCCTACACAGTACGGCAGTACGGCACAGTACGACACAACGGGAGGCAAAATACGGCTCCGGACGAAGTAAAGTATAGTATAGAGACCTGACGATTTTCTCTTCGTCGGTGTTTTCTAATCTAACTTCCTTTCCTTCTTCTTCACATCTTCTTCACATCTTCTTCTTCGTCTTCTTCTTCATCATCATCTTTATGTCTTCCTAAAGTGACCCATCACTCCACTTCATCGCGAGCGCACCATCCAGCTGCACAGAAGGGGGCTGGCAGGGCATGTGATGACACCACACACACCACACACCAGCCAAGCGACACCAGCAAAAAGGGTAATGGTACGGTACGGCAACATCGCAAGAAGGAAACAAAGCGTATGGTGGTAATCGTGGTTGTGTATGGACTTCCTATCCGCCTTCCCAGCTACCGTCTTTCCCCTCCCCCCCCGTTTCCCCCCCACAACACACGGCCCCGCCCCTCTCTCCCCCCCCTCCCCCTACCCGACACTCCCCTCTCCCACGCGCACACAAAGCACCCCCCTACCACTGGCTCTCCGCCTCGCCCTCCTTGCCAATGGACCACAGCGCCCCCGCCAGCGCGGCTCGCATGTCGTTGAAGTCCGGATAGCGCCGCAACAGGGCGCGGAATTCACTGTCAGTTGAAAGGCGACGGTTTGGCAGTTGGGAGTTGACAGTTGGGAAGGTTGATAGGGACATTCTTGGCAGTTTGCACCAGCACCAGCAACACCAGCACCAAACCACCGTCATCAACACCACCAAACCGCCAACAAAAAAAAACATATTGTCGGTAGAATATAATGATATGAGGGTATTTACTTCAGGCGGACCACCACCACCCGTTGGCTGCCACACCTCGTACGTCTCTCTGCCTGATGCCTAATGCCTGATGCCTGCCTGCCTACCGTATCGCTTCCTCAGTCCGGCCGATTTCAAACAGCGCCACAGCTCGATTAGCCGCTGCGAATGAGAAGTTGGGAGCCAGCTGTGCAGCTCGCCCGTAGTAGTCCACCGCCTCGGACCAGCGACCCAGACCGCCTGGGAAGGAGGGAAGGAGGGAAAGAGGGGGAAGGAGGGAAAGAGGGGGACGGAGGGGAAGCGGTGATGACGGCATCATCACGGAGTCGCGAACCGACCGAAGACCTCCCTCCCCTTCCCGACTCTTCCACCTTGCTCCCTCTATACACACATACATACACACATACATACATACATACATACATACATACATACATACATACATACATACATACATACATACATACATACATACATACATACATACATACATACATACATACATACATACATACATACATACATACAACCCGGGATCGGGACCTGTCAGGGTCGAAAATCCTTCCGATGGTGGAAGGTAAAGTGCCTCTAGTCGATGGACGGTGGTGACCTGGGATAAAGTTGACTCGCGAGCCGACCAGGAATGGAGTTGGGCCGCTGTCGACCCGGCAGATTCCGTTGGATGCTGGTGGTGGGTGCGGAACCTGAGCGATCCACTGAGAAGTTGACTAGGGGGTGACTAGATGAGGGTGCCCCCAAATACCGGGGAAGGCAGGGTTTCGCCGGGTAGCTGCCACGGGTGAAGATACACCCCCCCTGTTTCACACATCATACATACATACATACATACTAGGCCTAGGCCCTGCCCTTGGCCAAGTCATAACCCCCGAGCAATCAGCCTTCCTACCTAGGCGCCTCATTGGAACTAGTGTGCTATTCCTGCGTCACCTGTCACACCTCCTTCGCAAGCAGAACCGCCGGGGGCTCCTGGCATTCCTGGACTTCGCCAAGGCCTATGACACGGTGGATCGTGGGTTCCTCCTGGCAGCAATGGAGACCATGGGTGCAGGGCCACAGCTCTGCGCCTGGGTACGGCTGCTGCTGAGCGAAACGCGAGCCAGAGCGATGGTGAATGGCTACAAATCGAAGCTGGTGAACATGGAAGCAGGGGTACGGCAAGGGTGCCCCCTCGCACCCTTGCTCTACCTCTTCGTTGCTCAGGCCCTACAATGCTGGCTCCGGAGCCAAGACGTGGGGATCAAATTACAGCCAGCCGACTCACAACCAGTCACCGCGTGCCAATATGCGGATGACACGGAAGTGGCGCTGCAGGGTGAAGACTCAGTACCATCGTTCCTCCAGGCCATGGACACCTTTGCCCGGGCGTCTGGCCAACGCCTAAATCTCGACAAAGTGGAGCTGCTGTGGATTGGCCAATTAAACCAACAGCAGGCGCAACCTGCAACCCAGGCCGGACCCCAATCAGCTGCCCCTCAGCAGGAGTCAATAGGAGGTCTCAAGGTGGTGACCACCGCCACCGCCCTGAACCTGCCAATTGACAACCAGCCATCCCCGCCACAGCCCGACTGGATGAAGAGACTCGGGGAAGCCAAACGGCGACTGCAGCGGCTCCTCCGCTTCCCGCTATCAGCATTCGGTCGAGCCACAGCGGCATCGGTGTACGGAATGCAGACAGTCACCTGGCACATGGAGCATGGTGGGCCGCCCNCCAACCGTACGCTGGACGAAATAGAACGCCTAACGGCCCGCCTCGTCGACCGGCAGCAGGGCCCAGAAGACCCCGGCCGCCGTTTGACAGGGGTGCCTAAGGATCTCTTGACCGGCCACCCGTCGGCTGGAGGCTTTGGCCTGCTGCCCCTCCAGCAACACATCCAGGCTCGGCATGCGGTATGGGCTGTGCGCTTCATCATAGCGGCCCTCGGGCTATCTAACGCGTCATGTGGGCCAGGGACAGGTGGAGCTGCAGGAACCACAGGTGGTACCGGGGGACACGGGAGGGCAGATGGTGGTCTCCATCCCTGGGTCCGGACGCTCTCCGCCTATATGCTGCTCACCCACCCCGCCTTCCAACCGTGGGCCCTGACGACCGCCAGCCAAGCCGGGCCCCGGCTCGGCGGAAGCGACCTACCCACGGATATCAGCCGGATTGTGGGCGCCCTGGGACACCTACCACCGCTCCGGGATATCGAGACCAGCCCCTTGTCCCCCGGACCGTGGTGCTGGGCAACCGCGTTGTGGGGTAACCCGTTGCTCCCCAATACCGGCGAGGCAGACCCAGACAGTTTGAACCGCCGCCCGGGCCTGGAGGCGCACTTCGTGGGGATCGCTACATGCAGGAAACTGCAAACGGTGGGCGACCTAGTGCGGGTCTGGGACCTAGTGGTGCATACTCGAGTGGCCTCCCTCCCCAGGTCGACCTGGCCCGAATGGGTCAGGACACACCTCGACCCATCAA